GAATTGAACATTCTTGATCACCGGTCATGTATTGTGTGCACCCACTATCAAGCACCCAATGCCTTTCTTCTGCTTTATAATTGATCTATAAAAGAAGATCAATTCTTTTTAGGTACCCAAACTTGCTTGGGTCCTTGAAGGTTAGTTACCAAGGTCTTTGGCACCCAAATGGTCTTCTCCTTTGGGCCCACAATTGGTGTACCAATGAACTTAGCCTTCACACCATTGGCACCCTTAACAAGCATATAACAAGAATTAAATCTAATTGAGGATACATTAGGTTGCTTGTTCTTGTTAGTCTTGCAATATTACTCTATATGTCCAACTTGCTTGCATCTATTGTAAAACCGACCATTGCCCTTCACAAAAGCTAGCTTTGGGAGTGAAAAAAGGTCGCCTTGCCTTTCTTTGGAGTATAGCCTAGTATCTCTTTGTTGAGAGAAAATCTTTGGCTACCCAAGCACTTTAGCAAGCGAGCATCTCCACCATAGGCATTGCCTAAGATACGAGTGAGCTCATTCACCTCCTTCTTGAGGGTCTCATTTTTCATCATTAATGAGGCATCACAAGTGAAGCCATTACTCAAAGGTGAAGTAGAAGTAGTAGTGCTACAAGAAGGGTGAGTGGCAGCAACAACAATAGACTTATAAAAAGATTCATCAATAATATCACATGTTAGTCCCACATCATATGACACAATTACTTGCTTCTTCTTGGCTTCCTCCATCTTGACTTGCTTGATGAGAGAGGAGTGAGCCTTTTCAAGCCTAGAGTGAGCTTTGCCAAGCTTCTCATGGGCTTCTATTAGCCTCTCATGAGTGGCATTTAGCTCATCAAATGATTGCTCAAGAAATTTGACTTTCTTGCATAATTCTTTGCACTCCTTTCTCTTTATCTCAAAGCAAGTGTGTACTTGATCACACATGTCCATAAGCTCCTCCTTGGTGTACTCATCATCATCACTTCTACAAGCATCACTTTCACATTCATCATCATCACTCACATCATATTTTACCTTGGTAGGCTTTGCCATGAGGCATGTTGATGGAGTGTCAAAGATGGAGGGCTTGTTGTTGATGGTGATGCTTGCTAGTGCTTTCTTGATAGATTTCTTGCCATCATCACTAGAGCCATCACTATCCGAGGAGCCATCACTATCCCAAGTGACCACATAGCCTCCACCCTTCTTCTTCTTTTGAAAGGTCTTCTTCTCCTTCTTCTTCTTGTGCTTCTTCTTCTCATCCTTATCATTGTCACTATTGTAGGAATAATCCACTACAATATGATCGGGGCTCTTGCAATTGTAGCATCCTCTCATATATTCTTTGCTTTTGGTGTGATCTCTTCTCTTTCTTGCACCATAGCCCTTCTTCTTCATGAATTTGCCCATCTTGCGTACAAATAGAGCCATGGCCTCATCATCAATGTCACTAAGATTCTCATCATCACTTGATTCTTTCTTGGACTTGCCCTTGTTCTTGAATGATGAGCTAGCCTTGAATGTTACACTCTTCTTCTTCTTGTCTTCGTCTTCCTTCTTATCATCCTTGTCAACCCCCTCCCTTTCCACACAGTATGTCTCTTGTGTCATGACATCACCTAGTACTTGGTTAGGGGTAATCTCCTTCAATCCACCTCTTATGATAAGCAATCTCAATATCTCAAATCTTAGAGGTAAGTACATCAAGAACCGATAAGAGACATCATCATCATTGATCTTTTCTCCCAAAGCCTTTAAGTCATTGACAATCACTTGCAACTGACAATCACTTGCAACCAACAATCACTTGCAACCGATGGAATATCTCCGGAATGCTCTCATCATCTTTCATCTTGAAGCTTGTCAACTTGTCCTTGAGGATATACAACTTGGCACTCTTCACCGTTGGTGTGCCCTCATATGTTTCTTCCAATCTCTTCCACACCTCATTAGCTTTATCACAATCCTTGATTTGCTCAAACACCTTGGAATCAATGGCATTGTATATGGTGTTGAGAGCCATTATATTGATTGCTTGTTGGCCTTGTCTTGCTTGGTGAGATTGTCGGGATCAATGATAGCATAGTCACTCTCGGTCATATCCCACACTTGATCATTGATTAAACCAAGATACATCTTCATCTTTCTCTTTCAATAATCATAACATGTGTGATAAAAAAATGGTGGTTTACCCCCCACATGGTTGAACACAACTTCAACCATAATTTGACACCGAGGTTGTTAAGCCTTCAATGAAACAGTGACCATGGCTCTGATACCACTTGTAAGGTCCTAATATGGCTAAAGGAGGGTGAATAGCCTATTTAAAAAATCTACAAACTGACTAGAGCAATTTGATTAGTATGACAAATAGCGAAATGCAAATTTGCTCTAGCTCTACAAGGGTTGCAAGCCACCTATCCAATAATTCTAGTTACTATGATCACTAGACACACAATTTGTTAAGTCACTACTCACTAAGAGCTCTCACACTTGCTACACTAAAGAGCTCCACTAGATGAACTTAAACTACAAAGCAAGCTCTCAATTCTAACTATACTAAAGAGCTTGCTACAACTAGTTTGCAAGAATGAAAATGAGTGAGTAGGGTGATTATACCACCGTGTGAAGGAGTGAACCAATCACAAGATGAATACCAATTCAATCACCGGGAGAATACCAAAGGACAAGAGACAACCAATGTTTTTCTCTCGAGGTTCATGTGCTTGTCGGCACGCTAGTCCCCGTTGTGTCGACCAACACTTGGTGGTTCGGCGGCTAAGAGGTGTTGCACGAACCTCATCTACACAATTGCACACCACAAGAACCTACCCACAAGTGAAGTAACTCAATGACATGAGCAATCCACTAGAGTTACCTTTCGACGCTCCACCGGGGAAGGCACAAGACCCTTCACAATCACCGGAAGATGACCACGAACAATCACCGACTCGCGCCAACCCTCCTCCGCTGCTCCAAGCCGTCTAGGTGGCGGCAACCCCCAAGAGTAACAAGCAAATCCGGCAGCGAAACACGAACACCAAGTGCCTCTAAATGCAATCACTCAAGCAATGCACTTGGATTCTCTCTCAATCTCACAAGGATGATGAATCAGTGATGAAGATGAGTGGGAGGGCTTTGGCTAAGCTCACAAGATTGCTATGTCAATACAAATGGATAAGAGGAGTGAGCTTGAGCTGGCCATGGGGCTTAAATAGAGAGCCCCCACGAATAGAGCCGTTGACTAATCTGCCCCCTGAAAAATCGGGGCGACCGGACGCAGGACCCCAGCGTCCGGTCCTTAGATATTCACCACGTGTTCCTGACTTCAAATGATGATCGTCCGATCTCAACGGTCATCAGTGCACTTAAGTTGTGACCGGACGCGCTGCTCGAAGTGACTAGACGCACCATCACTGGCGTCCGGTCGTTTTCAGTAAGGTTCTAGAGACGGTTTTGCGCGACCGGACACGTCCGGTGGCACATGACCGGACCTAGGCTAGCGTCCGGTCAACACAGTCTCTCTTTGTTGCTTGCGTCATTGTACGTCACAAGGTGACTGGACGCACCCCCTGCGCGTCCGGTCCCTTTTTCACTTCAGCGTCCGGTCAAGGGACCGAGGGCGGCCTTCATGCGCGCCACTGACCAGACACAGGGTCAGAGTCCGGTCACTGCCCAAGGCAGAGTCCAGTCAATACAAAATAGCTCTTTTTGACCCTAAACTTCACCACCCTTGATCAAATGTGCCAACCATTAAGTATATCACCATGTGCACGTGTGTTAGCATATTTTCACAAACATTTTCTAAGGTGTTAGCTTTCCACTAGATCCTAAATGCATATGTAATGAGTTAGAGCATCTAGTGGCACTTTGATAACCGCATTTCAATACGAGTTTCACTCCTCTTAATAGTGCAGCTATCAATCCTAAAGGTGATCACACTCGCTAAGTGTCTCGATCACTAAACCGAAAAGCTCATATAAATTTCACCTTTACCTTAAACTTTTTGTTTTTCTCTTTTTTCTTTTTCAAGTCCAAGCACTTGATTAATACCATGGCATGACCATCATCATGCTATGATCTTTATTTTGCTTCACCACTTGGAAGGTGCCACCTATCTTATAATCACTTTGATAAACTAGGTTAGCACTTAGAGTTTCATCAATTCACCAAAATCAAACTAGAACTTTGAGCGGGCCATTCAGGCGAGTCACCTCGAAAAGTATATTTTCAGATGTGGTGCCTTGCATAGCCTGCCTCCAAAAATAGAGTATAGGGCTTTAAAGAGAAAGTTGTCCTACACACTTTTATTAACTGATTTAACATATCTTAGAAAATAGGTTATAGTATTCTTTATAAGATATTTTGACTTTTTATATTTATTTATTTTTATTATGTATCTAGATATACTGTATATCTAAGTGTATTACAAAATCATGTCTCGGAAAAGGAGGGATAGCAGCGCGTGAGCCAGCACCGGCAACACCTGGCCTGGCTGCCCCAAGTCCCCAATCCACCGTACCGGTACCTTAATGAGGTGTGATTGGATTAGCAATTTAGATTTTTTACGTAACACAAGATGCATGTTGTATGGACGTGAGAAAATCTCAAGTTCTCTCATGCTGTAGTGCTACCATCCTCCAAAATCATTAAAAAATAAGCAATAATCAATATGAATCGTAGAGCACACTGCCATTCATGTGCCAAACGGCAAATTTCAAGTTCAAATAAGTACAACAATAATTTGTACAAGAAAAAAAATACACATTCCAAGGATTTAGACAATGGCACTATTCACGTAGCCATTTGTTCCTTTTGCTTCTCTTATGTAGGGGTTTGTTTCTTGAAAACTTATGTAGGTTGATCAAAAAGCTCAGATTTTACAGGATGGTATTTTTTTAAAGACCCGGAACAAAGCCAGCATATATTAATAAGGAGAGAAAAGAATTACATGCGCAAGCAACGCAAACGACTTCCCAGTTTAACAGACTGTCAATCTGGGCGAAAAGAACTTAATGGACTACTCACAATCTACGGATACAACAAGAGGCCATAACAACTTGGCCTCCACAATCAACCCATATGCATCTTCTAACTCCCTAAAACGACTCCCAAACATTTTCTCCCGACATCCAGAACATCTCTGCCTACAACCTGCTTGCAGAAAGCTCCATCCGATTCTCCAAGGCAATACCTTAGCCACTGTCTTGTACTCCCCAACGCTAATAAACTGGATGTGGCAACTCACTGACCCACAAATAACACATGTGCAGCCCATTGAAACAACATGACCGACTGTTGCTCGAAAAATCTGCATGAGCACAATTATCAGACCTCCATCTCGGCCATCCCTGACTCTGCTGCTATTGCAGCTAGGGCCTTGCAGAGCTCCTTGTTGCCCAACTTCGCCACAACCCTTATTGCCTTGACTGCCTCCTCCGGGAGGTCCTGTCTGAAACTTTCAACAAACTCTGTGATTGCTGCATCCGGCGCCGGTGACTCGCCATTGATAAAGTCCAGCTCGCGCATAAGCTTTTGCTGGGCTCGATGTGCCACCGGCACAGGGGATGGACAAGCGGCCAGACACAGGCTGGAGCGGGTGGGAGCTAGTGTCGTACTGCGTCGTCTGGTACTCGATCGGCTGGCCTGTTTCTAAACAACTGGAGGTGAGTCCGGCCTCGGTAGCAGCGGCTCAGGGACCTTTCTAAACATCTTCCTACAGAAGGAGGTGCCGATGTCCTCTGTCTCAGTGCAACCATCGATGTTCTCTGCCCCCTACAAATCAGCATGCTCATCGGCAATATTTTTAGCAGCCGCAGCACTCGCCATTACAGGAACAACGGCAAGGTCCGAGCTGACACTTCGGCCCACAGAAGAGCCAAGCAGCGCTGCATCAATCTCCCTACTATTGACTTCGTCGGAGGTCCGTTCAGTAGAGCGGGTGTCCTCACCGCCGTCATTTGGGTAGGAACAAGGTCTGGTCACCGGCAAGACCGCGTGACAGTTGGCCTCCATCATCATCGGGTCCTGGGGCCCGAAGAAGTGACTATCCGGAGTAGTCGTCATCCTGTGGGGGTCAGCCAAAGGATCATGACTCACCGGCCAAGCTTGATGGAGCTCTGATGGCGCGCTTGTCGTATTTTGGCGCATTGGTGACCGCGAGCGACGTCGTTCCCACTCCTCAGCAACATGGGGAAGGTAGTCTCTCACCCTCCGCCCCCTTATCGGGGAGCGGCTGAAGGGCGACCCCGGCCCATGGGCTCCATGTCCTCCATCCCAGCATGGCACACTGGTGTCAGCTTGAACTCCACCACGAAGCCCCCCGGTTTGTGGCTGGTCACCATGATGTTGTGGCGAAGAACATGCAACTGCTGGCTCAGCGCATAGGCAACCTCCGAGGTACTCGGGCGGTACACGTTATGCGGAGAGGCGACAATGGTAGCAATCTTGGCTGGTGGCTGGGAGGTGAGGCTGGTAGGTGGTGGATTGGCAGTTGTGGGGTGGCGCAGCGGCGGAAAGGCTATTCGGCTGTGGATGTTTCCGGAGGGGAAGATGAGTCTTTGTCGTAAGGAAGTGGAGATTGGCTGGTGGCGACGGTTCTTGCAGTGGCGAGCAAGGTGACCGGATTCCTTGCAGATCAAGCAGCACACTGGGTCTCTGCACTGAGCTACCATGTGGTCGGGTCTGAGACACCGGAAGCAGCGGCCGGCGAGCATCTTTTTCAAGGCGTCCCGGCTCTCCTGAGCACCGGTCCGAGAGGCATCCCACGCCGTCGTCTTCATCTTCCCAAAATCCCCCGTTTGTGGCGCAGCATCCATTCTCCGCCAGCGCCTCTTCCCCGCTTTTTGCCATCCCGAGCTTTCCCCGCGCTCCAAGCAGCTGACCCCAACTTGGATGGGCGGCGGCTTGGGGCGAGGCGCCCTGTGTGGCAGGGGGGCCTTCTCAGCTTCCTTGCTGGCATCCATCTGCCCAGGCACGACCATGACCGACTTCAGCTTGGGTGGAGGCGCTCCTTTGCTGTGCTCAGGTGAAGCAGTCCCCGTAGAGGGAGGCGTGTTGGCCACTGCAGGCCTCTCATCGTCACCGGATCCCGCAGATCTCGGCGTGGCCAGCGCAGCAATCGAGGCCGGTCCCGATTCGAGAGCGGAGGCCTCCATGGCGTCCCTGAGCTGCAGATCCGGCGTCGCAGGGCTATCTTCCTCATCAATGGTGACCTGAACGGCTTCGATGTCTTCCACTTCGTCCGCGTCGCCCCAATCGAGGAGCTCTTCCTCCTCTGCTTCGATAGCTGATGAAGGCAGCAGGACCGGCTCAGGCAGTGGGACCTCCTCCGGGATGGAGGTGGGTTGGGGGCAGGTGTGGGTGGAGGTGGGCGCCGGCGCCGTGGTGGATGCCGGCAGCACGGTGGGAGGGGGCTCTCGTTCTCGCTCAGGACCGGAGGGGATGCTGGCGAGGCCGGGTCGAGTGGCTCTCGCTCGCCAGGGCGCTCAGTCTGGCCCTCAGGACCCCCATGGATCGATAGATCCGACGATGGGGAGTTTGGATCTGTAGTTGGGGGAAGGTGGGGTGGCAGATGGCTGATGGGCTCGGTGGTGTTGGCGGTGGCGGCGCCGGCGCCGTCGCCGTCGCCTGGGAGGTGCGGGTCGGGAGGCATGGGAGGCATGCTCTCTGACCACAGAGAAAAATTTCTAAAAATATTCAAGTCCAAAGGTTTCTATTACAGGATGGTAGATTTATCTTTTTTTTTTGATAGAGTAGATTTATCTTTTTACAGTTTTGTGCAACAGGGTTTTTGGTGGTCGTGCACGCTTCGTTTTCTTTTTTGTGTCTGGAGTCCAAAAAACCAAAAGCTCTGAAAAAGGTCATAAATGAAAATGGGAACAGGTAGCTAACCACAATTGGAGCCGTTCGCCGATGGGACCTTTGCCTGCTAAAGCTCTTTCGCGGAACCCCCACACTATCAGTGACATGATGGCCCCACCACGTGCCGTGGCCCACAGATGCATGAAGTAGGATTGGAAAGGAGTGCGTGGGTTTTCGCACAGGTACTTTCACGCACATCATCTTCATTCATCTATGTCCTCGTAAATGGAGCAGAGGCAGAGCTTTGCGTTTCTTCTACCGGCTGGGAAGTGACAAGCGGCACATTTGCAATAGAGCCTGCGGAAATATTATAAACTTCTTTTCAATTTTATGTTGGATAGAAGTGTTTTCTTTCTTCTTTATAAAGCAGTGACAGATGTCGTGAACTTTCAAACCTATGGTACATAGACCAGGTAGTACTCCATCTATTCCAAATTATAAAACGTTTTGACTTTTCTAGATACATAAATTTTGCTATGTACTTAGATATCACTATTTTTAGGTACATGTTAAAAACAATGTATTTAGAAAAACCAAGACGTCTTATAATTTAAAATGAAGAAAGTGCATCATAGTATAAATTTATGGTTTTTTATTTTAGATTAGATGCTTGCACAATGCATATGAGCATAGGATGATAGGCCGTTAAGAGAGAGGGTATGATGCTCTTAACCATGCAGCGGGTTATTCTCTATATAGGCACCACTAGACTAATGCTAGGTAAGACAATAGTCGATAGTGAGAATAAGATGATGGCTTGTTAAATACTGTACTAGCATGTTTGATATGCATAATTAGCATGCACTTTTAGTTATGATACATGACAAAAACAATGACATAACAAGTTTTTGTGTTCCATTCAACCACCCACAAGGTTCTTGTGGCCTCGGTCTCTTAGATTCCCACCCTTCTATAACTCGTGCTCACTGCTTATGTGGTTCCACTTTGTGTGGTGCCTCTCTCTCTCTCCCCCCTCTATTTTAGTTATTATGCTTTTGTAACTATGTTCATTTACACTGTCTATTAATGTACAATAAAATATAAAAAATCACATCTTGAGAAAGGTAAAATGGATGAATAATCTCGGCACAAGTTTTTTTTCTTTCTCAAAAGGAAGGCGGGGGTGTTTGGTTCTTTAGTCGCTCCTAAAATTTATGTCACATTGAATATATAGATACTAATAAGGAGCATTAAATATAGATTAATTACAAAACCAATTACATAGATGGAGGCTAATTTACGAGACGAATTTTTTAAGCCTAATTAATTCGTTATTAGCACATGTTAATGTAGCGCCGCGTTGTCAAATTATGGACTAATTAGGCTTAAAAGATTCGTCTATCAAATTAGTCGCAAGTTTTATAATTAATCTATATTTAATACTCTATGCATGTATTAAATATTCGATGTGACTAAAATTTTAACAGGGCCGTAGTGTAGCTCACATGGATAGTAGCACGGGAATATCCACCCTTGCCCCTAGCAGTAGGCGAATGAAGGAAGTGACCGGTGACCACCACAGTCCATGAAAACTTTGTAATTATTGTCTCTGGGCATGGATGCAAATAAATATCACGTGCCTTTAAATCTGGATTGATCCACTTCTTTTTTTTATTTGAAACAGTATTTTTCTCTCACAAATTTTTTCAGCATTTCTCTAAACTATCCAAATTTCTCCAGAATTTTTCCAAGCGAATAGGTCCAATGTGTGGATGGCCTAGTTTTGAGAAGGGCGCCTCTAATTCTCTAAATAAGGCCCCCGTACGCTTCTTCTATAGGCACACCATTGTCATGGCCGTCAACTACACTACACACCAGAGTGTGTGTTTCTCTCTGTGTGCGTGAGAGAGACCCACACTTGACTGAACTCAGCAGCCGCTACCTGTTTGCTCCTGAGATAGGAAAGAGCAACATTTTCCAATCAGTCAGGCCTGTTGCGTGTTGGCTTCTCCTAATCCATCGTTTTCTGGTGTGATCAGTTGGGGGATCAATCTTCTCAAACCACCCACTGGATTCCTTCCGTCCCCTGATTTCGATGCAGCAGGCCAAGGATGGCTGCTCTATGAGTTACTAGCTGACGCCTGAGTGTGAGTGAGTGTGTTTCTGATCATTTGTTTGGCCTCTTTCTTCTCCCCTCTCCCTGTTCGTCGCCTCTTGCGTGACCAACTGACGGTTTCATCATCCCATCTCAGATCACTCGACGGAGCAGCACAAGCTGCGTACTTGCTCTCTGACTCTGATTCTTGTCCACCTCACTCGCTCCCTAGGATCGATTTCAATAACAATCAGTCAGTATATCTTGCTACTCTGCATAGATTGGATTAGGTTCGGCTGAAGTTGGAACAGAGGATCGGGTTGTATTTCTTGACTGCAGCAATGCTGAAGAAAGCATCAGGAAGGGCTGCGGCCGCAATGGGCTGCGGTGGTGATCCCCCAGCACCATCGCGTCCCACACCCAAGGTCACCGAGGGCGGCACCGGCACCGGGAGGGCGGCGTCTCGGCTTCTTTCCACGAGGTCGTTCCCGAGCCTCTTCACGGACTCCGCCATGAGCGCCGCTTCCGTGGCCGAGCTGTCCAGGAACGCTCCCTGCTCCTCCGGCGGAAGAAACGGCAGCGCCCGGTCCGGTGGCATCGGGGGCAGCGCGGCCGCCGCGGGACTGGCGGGCGTGCTGGTGGCCGAGGAGGAGGCCGACCGGGGGTCCTGCAAGAACAGCCGCAGGGTGCTCCTCGGGATGCGGCTCAGGGTGCAGCTGCCACCGCCGCCGTCCGGTAAGGGACCCAGCGGCGGCGGCGGAGGGGACCTCCCGGGCTCGCCGATCGAGTTCGGCGTCAAGAACAGGGACGCCCAGCTCGCGCTGCTCTCGCCCGTACAGCGGTCGCCGCTGTCGTCGGCGGCGGCGAGGCTGGCGCGGAGGAGCGAGGTGGAGGAGCTCGCCAGGGAGGACTACACCTGCGTCATCGCCCGCGGGCCCAACCCCAAGATGACGCACATCTTCGAGGACCGCGTCGTCGAGAGCCGCGCCGACGCCGGCGCCGGTGGTGGCGGCGCCGACGCCTGCTGCTTCCTCTCAAGCTCTTGCTTTGTGTGCAACAAGGATGCTGCTCTCTTGCTGAAAAGGTGAACATCTCTCTCGTTTCTGATCATCTGCAATCTGCACATCAAGCTTCCTACTTGTTTGTGTGATTGGTTTACTGAGACTGCTAAATATTCAGTATCCTTTTGTTTTGATTGCGCGGTTTCAGTTCGTTGCTCATTCAGATTTCATTCAAGCTGGGTGAATTTTGCAAGTTTTTATATAGTCAGCATTTGAGATCATCATTGTTAGTGGCTTTCTTATGACTAGTGGTTTAGGTGCCTTGGACTTGTTCCATGATAACTAATAATTATTGTTCAGTGATAATGGAAATGCTTTTGAAGTAGGATACAAGATAAGATCATGGTCGTATTCTATTGTCAACCTTCTTAGTCTAACAGCGACGGCTTTGGCCGCGACCGCATTGTTCATGGTCTATTGCCACTCACTCCAGCAACATCTCATTTTCATCTGGCCTGAAAGCAACATGATTCCTGCAAATAGTTTAAGCTTCAGCTTGGGAGCTCTACCTTGTAAAGTATTTGCAGCAGGTAGCCTGTAACTGACTGTGAGTGAGTGAGTGACACCAATTGATCCCAGACAACCTCAGGATGCAGAAAAAAAATGGATTGAATACCGGCCCTTTTTTTCTGTGGTCCATGAACCATGACATGACGCTGATATACAGATTGTGGTCGTGGATCTGGGGTCCCCGATCTTTGTCGATCATTTGTTGCCGGCCCTGAATTTGTTTCTCCAACAGTGACGTTTTTTTTTCGCCTCCTTGAATTCGGGATCCCTGGTGAGATTGAGATGGACCATAGATATTGCCACCGCCGTTGTCTGCTAATTATTCAGTTTCTTGGACGCAATGGGTTCATAATTTATGTTCCTTTGGACTTTCTTCCAGCATACTAGTTAGTCTTAGTACAGGGCATACAAGGCGTATTTTGGAGGATAGCTAGTTGTAAATGTAATCATGTCTGAATGGACTGATAGCCTAAATGCTACTTATCACAATTCACATACAGAGACAATTTTACATGATGTTGTCTCTTGGATGGATTATAACAATTGTATTTGTGTGTACTGATCCATCTATTTAGTCTTCCAGAAGTGAGAGAGAACTCTGCAGCAACCAATGGAATGAAGGGCTGCTGTTTGGTAAAAGGGCTGGCGGGTCACGGGACTCATGGGTGAAGCTGAAGCCCTGACTGAATTCTCCGTCCTGAATTTTGGCAGAGCCTATATGTTAAGTGATAAACCATTCTTCTCTCCTTATTGAGAAATTTTTATCTGAAATGGATGTATGATCGGTGCTGGGACCAATGTTATCCGTGCTTTGTTCCTGTGTCTTTTGGCTGTACTCAGAACTGATGACAAATGCTGAGCGGTCCATCAACTCGTTGCAGTCGGATACTATTGAGTTGATATACCCTTGTTTCATCCGTTCAGGCTGGGTCTGAGGTTCCTGTATTAATTGGAATTGCGCACAAAATCATCCGTGTTCATTTTTTTTTCAGTGGGAGGAATTCATTCGTCAGTTTTTTTCGTTTTTTTTTTCTTTTCGGGAGGTGGGGAGCATCTATTTCTAAGGCAGAATTATGTGTGTTCACCAGCAGGACTGATCCAGTAGCTTGAGGAATTTCATGGGAGTATGAGGCCCAGTAACATGTAGACGCTAATAATGGGCCGCCGTGTCTTTTTTTTTCTTTTAATTCCACAAAACGATGGGCTGGTCGTATCACTGGCAGAATTCTGTGTGTTCACCAGGACCGACCCAGTAACCTGCGGAATTTCATGGGATTTGGAGGCCCAGTATATGTAGGCGCTAATAGTGGGCCGCCGTACCATGGGCTGGTAGTATCACTGGCCAGTGAGTGGCCACCGATCCCATGATCCCAAACGCAAAGTTTAATAAGCGACCGGTCGCGCTCCGCCTCCATCGCCTCCCCAGGCCGAAGCACCAATCCCCAATCCGGGCGTCTCCTCCTCCACCTCCTTCGTTCGTAACACACCTCTGCGCTCCGAT